GTGGGTCATCAACCACATTACAAGCTGACTTGTTATTTAATTAATCTAAGAGTTTAGCTAGATTTTACTTATTTAAGACTTTTATTTTCGGCAGAATGAAATGTCTCACATTTTTTGTAGCTTGCTCCGTGGAGAAACGATCCGACCATAACCACAGGTTTCCCAGACCTCCGTTGGGCACAGACTGCAGACTTTGGTTACGTTCCAAATGCCCAGATGCCAAATGTGTTTATGGCTGTCGCCATTGACCTGCCTGATTTTGATTCACCATATGGAGGGTTTGTCTGTAGAATACGTCTTGCATTTTCTCATTTAAATTTAGATTATTTTTAATATCATAATAGTTAAATTAACTGAATTAGTATAACCATTTGAGGGGAGGGTTAATATGTTTACGTGGAAAAAACATTGGCCTTGACGACGAAACGATATAATAGCATACCAGGTACTTTTTGTTTGAAATTTTGACGCCAAGACGATTTTTTCTCAGACTTGATCAAATGAAGTCGCATGGAGATAGTAAAATCTTTGAGTACTTTTTGGAATAATTATCACAGATCAAGGGAGTGGGTGAGTGTTTGGTCCCAACCAGATATTCTGACGTTGGTATGTTGTCAACTAAATACTTTGGAATAAGTCTATTGTTAGTAATTATGGTTATTTGATGATTGCATTGAAATAATTTACATAAATTTTGAAATAACTTATTCACAGAAAGCATCTCATAGAACAAAATTAAAGTCGATCGAGTATTTCGTTTTTCATATTTTTTGTCATTTAGAGTGGACATTTTTGACTAGGAGCCAATTTTATCTGGACCAACTTGAAGGGTCTTTATAGAAAAAATTCTACCTTTTAACTTTCTTACCACTGTATTAATCCTTGTTTAATTCTGAACCACTTAAACAATTATAAGAAGTTTTTGCAAATCCACCAATGAAGACAGACACCAAAATTTCATCATGACAATCTGATTGGAATATAAACGGTCACATGATACTAATTTGTAACTTTTACATATCAAAAAAATGTGGCGGACTACTTTAAGTTGCCTGCTTCAAGGTCATTTTATGTAAAGCTTTATCTATACTAACACGTTACACCATAATAATTGCAACAACTACACCCCACCAACCATGGTTGTTTCGATCAAAATTTACAAGTCCCTGAGTACAATTGTCCATTATTAATTAGAACAATCAGACCCAGATGCTTACGTGTGCGAAGTGCGCAATGAATACAGGCGCCGCCGCCGAATAATATGTGTCAACCCTTCTTAAAGGCGTCAAATAAAGGCTTGGAAAGCACCAAAAAATTCATCGCACACACATGAAAAATGCCACGCGCCGGGTCTGGGAACAATGTTTTTATATTCCAACACTCATCCCTTTTGGCTAAGAAATTAGATTGTGGGCTTTACAAGCCAGTCTTTAGAAGTTATTGCATTTCGCTTCGACAATGTGTTCCACTAGCCGTTATGAAAGGCCAGTGCCATATGAAGAGCAAAGGGATCTCACTAATAATGGACACGATCTTGATTTTGAAGTATTGAATTGCGTAGAAAGCAAGTATAATGACAGTTTCAACAACATGTGTCAAACGCAAGCGTAATGTTAAACAAAAAAATAAATAAAATAAATAAGAATAACGTGGTTTAAACAGTAATAAAGTAAAAAACACTTTTTTTGTAAACAAACACTGACCACAATAAGCTCCTTATATGACTGGTTTAACCCACTATGATATTGCCGTATATTACTATATAAAGAATTGACGACTCTTGGCTACCTAAGATGGGGATGTATATTCTAATGCAATAAAACTTCTAGCAAACTAAGAGTAAATGCTTTCCTGATGAAATCGCTGGTACGATGAGAGAACATGGGATTATATGGATTAAATGATCACGGTTGGATATTTATCGATGTATTAATTGTTAAATATTCACTCACAAATTTAACATAAAGTCCTAATCACTTTATTTACTTTGTGGATGATTATGCAAAATAAACAAGCCAATAAATACCCAACGATGATCATTTAATCCTGTATGACATTGCAGATTTTTATTTTTTTGAACGAGTGTGCATTTCTTAGTTTGCATCTGTATCTCTATGGCTACAAATATTTTGCAGATGTACTTATATAGGTATTAGTTAAAATAAAATATTTATCAAGGATTATGTATTTCTTTTAGAGAGACTTTTATTACTGGAAGTGGGATATTAACTACTGGTAAATGGGTCCGTCACATAGGCTCTAATTTCCTGTACACAATCAACAGAGAAAGTCAATATTCCAGCATAAAACGATGTAAATAATAATAATAATAATAATAATAATAATAATAATAATAATAATAATAATAATAATAATAATAATAATAATAATAATAATACTTTAGTAATTTAGGTTACAAAAATTCAGTACAAGTGAATACAGTGTGCCATGGTGTACAGAAATTAATGTGTTATTCAACGTGAGTAGGCATATATAATTTTATATAAATAATCGGTGCATAATATAAATGTGTTGCCACCACTAAGTATATAATTCACAATTCTTATGAGTTGTCATGATAGGTAATATATATATATATATATATATATATATATATATATATATATATATATATATATATATATATATATACTATTTGTAAGCAATGATATTGAATTCACTTTGAATTCAGTCTGATGAAGTAACAAAGCGGAACCGGTCACACATTCTACGTGCTGGTGTTGTTTATTTTAATATATATATATATATATATATATATATATATATATATATATATATATATATATATATATATATATATATATATATATATATATATATATATATATATATTCAGGATACATCCCAGAGATAAACAAGATGTTGCTAACCGACTGGTGCTTTCATCACTTCCGATTGCGTATAATATGAGTGCTGGAAAATATCAGGGACCATTTCCAACTGCATTCTACATCGATATTGGCTATGATACGCTGGGAATTGAATATGATATGAGGGCTTCTATTCTTGATGTTAGATCCATGGATGGCTTTGAGGTAATGTATTGATTGTCTTGAAATTGTTCTTTACTTTCTAAATTTCATTGATCTGCTATTTATCAAAAACATCTTTACCCGATAAGAGTCAATACAAGCTCCCTTAAACGAAACCAAAACGCACACAGGACCAATAATTGACATAGTAATTTTGTTCAATAAAATAGACTCAAAAGGTGGAGATTAAAGGTTATAATGTAGGAATCAATCACGGTTTGCCAGTTCAACCTTATTCCGTCACGCTAAGAAGAATTTGAAACCAAAGATTAGGTCTTTCATTACAGAAATCAAAGAAAAAGTTTCCATCCAAATAACAGGACATTTTATAAAAAGAAAATCATGGTCTTATTTGGACAAATGAGAATCACATAGAGTGATATTTTAACGTGTTGTAATATAACAAATATGAAACCATATATGCTATGTGATAAAATTAATTAATAACACAACGTTCCTCACTTATATACCTAGTAAAACCATACTGTGTGCCATCAGCCTTACAATCACGTTTTCAAGACCATACGTGACTTTGCTAAATTTTGCAACAAATAGATAACTTCCTAATATTATGTTGAGAATGCCCTTGAAGTCATTCAATCAGTTCAATTCAGTAATCGTGACTAAAGTTGTTTATGGGGAGAAATTAATCTTTTTAAATCATTCTGATGCACTCTCAAATAAAGAAAACTAAGGAATATAAAACACCAGTCATTGAGGATATTGTGTGATAACAGGAGCTTTGGTGTGGACATAATCGTTGATTTCAGCATAAGAATATAAATACAACAAACTATAATCGGAGATTAATCTTTCAATACAACATTTTGGAATATTCCGTAGGTGTGCTGCTCCAAGAATAACCAATCGCTATGTAACCCAGACGATTCCAAGTGGAATTCGGTGTCGATCGTTAAATATGATGACAATACGGTAACAATGTCGTATAAGAATCAATGTCCCAACATGTACATCGTCGGTCTCCGGTATGCCTGGCGAGAATCTCCGTGCGACTTTAAGAACTGTGCAGTGTATAGCAAGGAAAACAGCCTGCCCGCACCGCCTTATATCATGATTGGTCTGATTGGTTGAAAACGGAACATTAGCATCAATTAATAAAAATGTATGTACTGAATTTCTGTCAAATATTGTACATGAGTATGTGTATTGACATTTAAAAAATGCCATCGCACAATTTGCATGTGAATACATCCAAATCGCATCGATAATACAGTCTTACTCAAATAGTAATTATCGAGAGTGTTGTCACGATATGTAAAGCTGGTTTTTATACAACTATTCTCTCTCTCTCTCTCTCTCTCTCTCTCTCTCTCTCTCTCTCTCTCTCTCTCTCTCACACACACACACACACTCTCTCTCTCACACACACACACACACACACACACATTTCAAAAGGAACAGAGAGTTTGTGGGTATTCTGCACCTGGTATATTATCCTTATGTAGATATTATAATAGGTCTCTGATGAGAACTGGTTCTCAATAATATTTTTCTCTGAATATTGAATCTCGTATTAGGCAATTACATCCGTATACAAATAATTTATTGCAAAAATGTCTAAACGCCATTGCGCTAATCAGAATTGACATTATGATAATAGACTATAGTTTGTTCTGAAACTAATCCTCTCTCAGAAGAGAAATAACGCTCATAGATTATAGTTTGCTTCGCAACTTTCTAACAGAATTTAAAGTGACTATGATTTTTAACGTAGCTTTAACAATTGTCCAGTCATATTGCTACGATGACTGCAGTGTGGGAGTTTATAGTGACGTCAAGCACTGGGGCATCATGCCGCAGACATGTAGCATGATGGCCTACCCAGTCACATTACCTTGATACCAGGCCAACCAGTCCTAACACTAACCTCTAATGCTGAGCGTCAAGCGAGGTAGCTGTTAGTACCATTTTTGTAAATCTTTGGTATGACACGATCAGGGATCGAACCCACGAAATACCGCAACCGAGGCGGACGCTCTAACCACTAGGCCACCGGAGCGGTTGTCTAACACAGGAAATGAATTGCTTTTGTAGTGTGTTCTTTCGATCTTTGAGTCAAACTTCCGACCTATGGTGATCATTTAGCAGCAGTATCATACAAGCAGATTTTACATGGGCACAATCCTAGTTGTGACCATGCCTGACTCATCCTCACTATAAAACACGCTATGCACCTATAGCACATTGTAATCAGCACGGCTTTGGGTTGTAAGTTTCAGGTTGGGTAGGCACAGTCAAGGTCAATAGTTTCGTATATGCATTTAGATCAGAAATAAATAGTGCTTCTGGCACGCATTTTTGGAACCACATTTTAAAGTTTTACGTCATTCGTATTTGATCTCCATAGATGAATCAAATGCAGGTAAGCCATAACATATAATACTTTTCTCCATGATTGATGACTGGACAAATAGATTCCATGAAGGAACCACAAGCCAGGCTGATCCACAATTTGGTTTTGTTCGAGTAAGTTATAATTTCAAGATCCATTAATTCTTTTCAGATCAAGGAATGGAACCCGCCGCTGTTATTCTAAACTAAAGTTATGGTTCAAACTTGATCAGGAGCTCGTCTTCTAAGATCCGTATTATAGTGTTGTTATGACCATATAGTCATAAACTAAGTAACAAAGAGGCAAGACCTAAACATTTTGTAAAACGTAACAATGTGATTATCAATGTTATAACTGAAAATTTCAGAGGAGCCTACATAATACTGAACTGAATCCAAAATAGTCATGAAAAAAGTTCTATTAAAGTCCAAAACAATGAAAGATTCGATCCACGAATATACTCGTAGGCCAACAGTCCTGGCTTGTTGAAACGGCTTTACTAAAACTCCTTGCATAATACTTCTGAATTAATATTATAGAACAATAAACATTTTCTATATCCGTTGAATAGTCCAAACAAACGTTTTCCTCTCAAATATTCAAAATAGAGAATAAGATACGTATGCAGACTTGATGTTACAAAACACAAGAATGAAAAAAACCCTGCTAATTTAACATATCATATGGAAATTAACTTATTCCTTCTAATGTTGCACTTGACCGGCCTGTTCAATTGGAAATGCCTGAAACTTGTAAACATAATTACTAATAATTGTATTATAGTAGTATAGGGAAACAAGGTTATCAACTCAAACCCCACTTTTGCCCCTCCAAACAAATATAACTATAGTCCTAAACTATACCCCACCATTTTTTTTTACAAAAGTATTAGTAAGGTTTTTAGCTCACCCCCTCTCTGTTATTACAGTGTTAGTGAATCCAGGTAGAGTATCCAGGTAAACTTACAGAAGCTCCGTGGCCTATCTTGATTTCACAAAACAACAGGTGCAGGCAGGTGTTTTTGCATTATTACACATCAACAGGTGATCATTGAATCGTTCAGCTAAACTCGCGTTATACAGAGGTTGTGGACCAATGAAATCTCATAATATTCACACAAGATTGCCTGTGTTTAAAAGACCTATAAATTCTTAATTACGCAGTAGAGCCGACAGACAGAGAATCAAGCGGGAGAAAGGTAAGTGATATTATTTTATACCTCATTACCAATGATTAATGTTTCAATTGTTGATATTAAAAATACTTCATTATCACGATGATAGAGACTAAATTTTACTTTACCGCTCACACAACGACGACATTCAAACAAATCTTTTATCTGTGGTTTGTTTAGAGGATATTTTTTGTCGATAAAATATACCTTTGACCGATCGAGATCAATTGTGAGTTTAGTATATTTTTTTTGGCTAATCGGATTGTGAAAGTTTTTAAATTCTGCTAGCAACTTTTGCTACAATTGTTCAAGATAATTGAAATACTCGCTGTTATCAGATCTGATGAGTGAAAGATTTAGCTTGTCACGTGTTCCACTGAAACAATGTACCTGATGTTTCATTATTAAATTCAACTGTCAATTGTTTGCCGTCAATCATTAGATATTTGATTTTACTACTGTAGCTATTTGTCATTGTCAAATTTTCAAACATTATTTTATAAGTATAGATAAAATTTTAGTCATCATGACAATACCCAATGGCAAGTGTATCTACCCCATTTTCGCAATAACGTTTGTCATCAAAATTACACAATCCACGTTTGATAATGACATCTGTTTCAAGCTTATGATGATTAGTCCGAATTGCCGTAGCTCTCATAAAACTAACACCGCCATCAAGCGCGTACTTGTAGTCATCAAATTTCATAAACTTTTTAACAAAATCACGAGGCAGACTTTTGCTTTCTTCGTTATTTTATTATTGTCTAACAATACGGCATACATTTTGCTGCGTAATCCGATAAAATATTTGATAGCGCTCAAGTTCATTTCATCTTTGAACTTACCAATCACTTTTTTATTTGTGTCGTCATGAAATTTACTGTCACGTGGGTAATCAGAAAGATCAAACAGATGTCGATTATTGTACATGTCCTGATAGATGTACTCGCATTCGATTTCATATACGAGCGAATCGGTATCAGTAAATGATAATATACCGGCCGGCCATTGAATTTTAGCAAACTTATAATGAAAATCATACATCAGCCACTTTGATAAATCTAACACTGAAGCTCCAACGTAGATCGGCTTGTTTAGTTTTAGATTTGTTTTTCTTCTTTGTATCGCAACAAGATTCTCATTGAAAATTTTCATGCTCACAAAATCATCGTCTGACACAAGTTTGTTTCTGCGATTGATATCATTAATTCGATATTTACGCGTTTCCTAATATTCTCCATCGTCTTACCAAAAACGGAAATGTTCATCAGTTTAAAGAAGTTTTTCTCAAAATCTGTTTTTGCTGCAGTTCTTCTTAAAGTGTTCGAGTTAATTTAACCTCTCATCCACGACGACTGATTAAATTTTAGTACACGATGAACTTTTCTCAGCACAAGGCCAGCATCGACTGCTTGTTTTAAAACTTTGTAATGCAAAACATAATTTTGCTTATCGAGTAAATTTGGTACTAGTTTCTTGACCATAGAATGTTCTCTTGGTGATGCTAACGTTTGTTGTTCTTCTGATAACAAACTATAATCTATAACCATCGATTCCGCGCAGAAAGGATAATCGTTATGTTATTTGTGCAACCAAGTTGGATAATCAAGATCAACTTCAACGAAATATGAAACATCTTCGGGTATCTTTTTTCTGTTTCAGATAGAGATCGATCAGCCGTGATCCAATGAAATCCACCAAGAGGCATTGGTTCTATCATTGAACCACTGTAAAGATTATTGCAATCTAGATAAATTATATACTTTGAAGGAAGCTCAGGATTATACTTTTTTAAATATTTGTTGTTTGCTTCAGCATATTTTTTCGTTATCACGCTAATACCGCCTCTGATACCTTTTTCGATAAAATTGAACATATCAACGTCAGTCAGTAATTCTAACCTTACCTTACTAAACTTTAGCAGATCATCCCATGACAGCCCAGGGGCAGAATAATACCAACAAGGATCTAGTCCATAACTTTTTTAACTCACTTCTCAAAAACTTTCAAAAACATGTGCTAATAATAACACGTCAGTTTTCAAATACAAATCATGATAATCACCAAAAGTCTCACAATCAAATTCTTTCCAGATATCTTGTGCATACTTGTATTCGTCATCGGTTATGTTTTCATTTTTAAGTTGTGAGTAAATTTGTCTTTGTCAGATGATGTTTCATCAGATTTACTCCAATCGTTGAGATATTTATACGGAAATACCTCTTTCTTAGGTAGTAGATTAAATTTATCTCCAAAACAGTCTCTTAGGTTATCAAATTTACTACAACCTTTTACTAACTCATCTAACGAGGCTGCTATAAACTGCAGGCTGTCAATGAAACGCAATTTGCCTAGCGTAACTGACATATACTTTTGAAAATTATTTGGAATGCATTTGATGACATTAACGAGTTTTAGACGAGGTTTTACATCAGGATCACCAAACGCTTCTACTATAATGTGACTATCATATCCTCGAAAATTGTGAAGAATAACCGGAATGAAATCTGGAGCATGAAATTTTAAATTACACTGATCATGAGCCGCTCCACAGTACTGTCCGGTCAAATGGCGATGGTCATGTACTTTTTTTATCAGTATCAAAAGCTTTTTCACAAATAGAACAAATTTCCGCTTGTTCGTGATCGGATTCTTGTTGAGGTGTTAATTTAATCATTGCGTTACTCTTTTCAAATGATAAGTAATATTATCAACTTCGTTAATCAACTGCTTGAGAAGTCAGACAGCTGGATTTTTACCACGATATAATTTGATTGGTTAGATAATCTAGAATCAGTACAACAAACTACCTTATACGCTACTCCGCACGGAACATGATTTTGAATTTTTCTTGTACTCTATTGATTAGGATTATTTTCTACGCCAAGTACAGGTTGAAGTAAGCATTCGAAATCAGCGTATATGACGAAAGAAATTTTTAGTTTGTCATTATGATGGACAAACTGTAACACACTATCTTTTTTTTAGATGGCATTGTTATTCTTTGTACATCACTATAGTACTACAAATGATTTTGTAATGTTTCATTGTTTGTACAGCCATGCATGCAGCGGTAACAAAAGAACTTTTTGTTCTTATTCTTATAGTACTGTTTACCAACTAGCCCGTTAAAGTTTTTAATCCAAACGTAATGATTTTTATAAAACAGTAAATTTATAGTCGATTGTGAAGCTTGTTCTGAAATATATCTCGGATATACGTCCTCCTTTTCATCTAGTCCAAAACATTAATCGAAATATTGTTTTGCTTCTCAAATTTTGGTATTTGATTTTCTGCTACTGGAAATTTAATATCTTTAAAATTTAATCTTGACACGTGACTGATATACTTTTCAACACGAGTAGCGTTTTTTTCTGTTGGAAATAGTGTGGAAAGAATAGCCCATTTGGAAACATTTGTTATCTACGTTTTTATGTTTATACAACATCTTGTATTTTTTCTATTTTTGGTGGTAGGTCAATATACGAACTACCGCG